CAATATTGGTCTCATTTGAAAGATAATAAAAAAGTACTTAATTTGATACTCCCTCCGTTCTTTATTATCTGTCCTCTTAGGCTTTGGCACGGGTTTTAAGAGGAAAATAGTAGGGGTAGTGTAAAAGGTGTAATGAGTAGTGGGTAAATGAAAAAGTAGGAAAGAGAAAGAGGTAATGGTAATAAAAGTGGGGGTATAAAGGTATATTTAAAGTAAAAACTTTCCTTAAATGGAAAGGAGGACAAATAAAAAAAAAACGTCCCAAAAAGGAAAGAAGGACTTTTATTAAAGAACGGAGGGAGTATAATTTTTGATAAAATTGGATAATGATATAAAAAGTTAAATCAATTTTAAACTAAAAGCATTTTATATTATTTGAGCTTTTATTTTTACCTACTTTTTTGGTAAGTAGCAACCTCCAACCGTTAGTGTTATAGAATTACACTAATGTCCTTTATTAGTTCCACACCTCCGTTTCCAATTGAATGAGATAAGTTAATATGTGATCATGTATATGTTTGTATTGTGAAGCAATTACTTAATAGCCAACCATTTGATGAGATGGTGGGTTAGGATGTGTTCTCATTTCTCACAATAAGGTGTGTTCTCATTAGAACCACTCCATATATATATATATATATATATATATATATATATATATATATATATATATATAGATTTGGGATCATATACAAAGCCAACTTAATTTACAAAATACAAAGTTATCCTAACCGTCCATCTAACCCTTTTTTTTGTGCGCAGGTTTTAATTTTAGCCGCGTACGTGAGGGTGTTTTGGGGCATCGCATATCGGTCTAAACATGGAAATACAATCACGTTCCAGCTCTCTTCCCTTAATACTCTGTTTCCATATTTGCGATCAACACCACGTTCATGCTCGACTCAGACCTGCGCTTCACTGCTGCTTCCATTCTTGTATCGTTGAAAGGTCAGGATGTCATCAAACGCCGTAGAATCTGAATCAGGTTCGGTTCTATTATCTTTGTTTGAATACAAAAAAAAATCTTAAACCAGTTTTAATACCAACAAATTGCAAACGAACTTTGTTTTACTAAAGAAAATCTGAATTAACATTTAACGTCTAAGTTGGAGATGATGAAGTGCTATTTATTTAAAATGAATAAAATAATTAACAATTCTATTGTCGTATTATACTTCTGTGAAATTCATGGTTGTTGTTTATGGTTTGCGTTTTGCATGCACGAGGATTCACTGTAGTACGTTTACATTGCTTGCTTTCAAATATAGTTTGATTTTTTCATATTTTTCTCCTAGTCACACTTCGTACTTAAATGCAAGAATACTTTAATCATGGTGCAGTTCGAATTTTAAAGAGGTTTATTGTTATCTGTTTTTATTTTTATTTTTTAATCTCCAAATTTTTAATTGATTTTCTATTTTTCTTTATATAGGTGTGAAATGTAATTTAGAAATTTCTCCTGGTTGTACAAAGTATTGGACTCCTGACTGTCAACCGGATAAGAAACCCTCTGTTGGCATGCTCTTTCCTGATCTACAAGCCGACATTGATTTTTACAAAGCGTATGCAGCTGAAGTGGGTTTCACGGTTCGTTCGCATACATTATCGAAGGCCAAGGATGGTCACCCTATGTTGAAGTATTTGATATGTAGTAGAGCGGGGTATAAGAATAATGGTCGTAGTACTGTTGTCCCCGCTGTTCCCGTTGTCCCCGATGTCCCCGTTGTCCCCACTGTCCCCGCTAGCGGTGTCGTCAATAATGGTGCTTCTACATCCAAAGGTAGTAAGCAGAATAGAAAACGTGTGTCAAATAGAGTTGGATGCAAAGCACTTTTAACTCTAAAATTTGCTGGTAATGATGGTTTCTCTGTATTTGCGTTTGAGGAGCGTCACAATCATTCCATGTGTTCTGAACAGTCAAAACAATTCCTAAGAGTTAATAGGAATTTAGATCTCGGTCATCAAAAGTTTGTTCTGAATTGTTTCAGAGCAAATATTGGTACAAAGAAATCATATAGATTGTATAAGGAGACTGTAGGGGGTTATTCTAGCATTGGCGCGACTGCTGTGGATTTTAAGAACTTTAAGCGTGACCTTATGGCCTACATATCTGGAGTCGATGCCCAAATGGTCATCGATAAGTTATTCAGGAAACAAGAAGTGTGCTCTGCTTTTTTCTTTGATTATGATGTTGATGAAGATGACCAGCTCACAAGATTGTTTTGGGCGGATCCCATTTGTCGCAAGAACTATGCACTGTTTGGTGATGTTGTTTCATTTGATGCTACGTATGGAACAAATAGGTTTGTTTACTTCAATTCGTGACTAATTGTTTCAATTTTATTTAATTATTTAAATTATGTGCACCTTTACCATATGTTCTTTGCACCTGTCATAACTGCATTATGCACATATTATTTGGATTCTGATTTGTACATCGTATTTGTTATATTGGCAGGTACAATATGGTATTTGGTCCTTTCACAGGTGTTGACAATCACAGAAAGTGCATTACGTTTGGCGCCGGTTTGTTAGCCAAGGAGGATGTCGATTCCTACGCTTGGCTTTTCACACGCTTCATGCATGCAATGGGACGCGAACCAACATGCATTATTACAGACCAAGACCCAGCTATGCGCATTGCAATTGAGAAGGTATTTTCAGCTTCCAAACACCGGTACTGTATGTGGCACATTATGTCAAAAGTGACACAGAAGGTAGGTCCGATCTTAAGTAATAATGAAGCTTTTATGTCATCACTGAATTCAATTGTGTGGAGCCATTATCTTGACACAACCCAGTTTGAAGATAAGTGGACATCACTCATGGAAGAGTATGACTTGACAGCACATGATTGGTTTTGTCACATGTTTGAGTTGCGTAGATGGTGGATTCCCTCTTATTTTAGAGATACCTTTATGGCCGGTTTGCTTCGTACCACCTCGCGCTCTGAGAGTGAGAATTCCTTCTTTCGGGAATTTACTAACCCACACTTTAGTTTAGTTGAATTTTTCATGCAGTTTGAGAGTGCAATGGATGCACAGAGGCATAATCATGACAAATTGAATTCTGATTCAGAGGCATACATTCCAGATCTGAAGACTCCTTTAGCAATGGAAAAGGCAGCCACAGATGTTTTCACGCGTTCCGTTTTCTATGACCTACAAACGGAATTATCTTCAGCGTGTTTTGCATGTTGTGTGATACATGTGGATGGCCGTGATGGTGTTTTTGACTATCGGATTTGTGACGAAAGGAATTTGGAGTTTAAAGTTCATTTTCAAATGTCTGATATGAAGGCGGAGTGCAGTTGCAAATTCTTCCAGCGGATTGGTTTGGTTTGTCGTCACATCTTTCTTGTCTTAAAGGACTCGAAAGTTGAACAGATTCCAGAACATTTTGTTAATACCCGTTGGTGTAAGAAGGGTTTAATTAAACCGTTGTCCGAAATCTCTGATTCTGTATTTCAGCAATGCATCACGCTAGAGGAGAATAAGATGTGTGTGAACTCTTTATGGTCTGATATATATGCATGCATGGCTCTCGTTGAAAATAACCCAAGTTACTTGCAGCAGTTTTCAAGCATTATTAAAGATCAAAAAGAGATTCTTCTTTCCCTTCAGAGTGGGGTTGCACAGTCATCAACGAAGCAGTCGGTATTTGAGTCCTTTTATGGTTCTGCTGCGCCTTCTATCGTCACAGTTCATCCTCCACAACAAGCGAGGAATAAAGGTTCAGGACGTAGGATCAAGTCTTCCAAAGAGATTTCTATCCAAGAATCTAAACGTCCCAAGAGACTTTGCCGTTCATGCAATGAGATGTGCCATCATGATAGCCGGAATTGTCCGTTGAATAAATAGCTAGTATTGTTTAAGATCATGGTTTTTATTGCGTAATGGATTATCTTTGTTTTTTTTTCCCAGTGGATGTAAACTGTCGACAAATTATTCTTGATGAATCTTTTTTTTTTTATAAAGTATCCACCTCGTTAATATCTTTGCTGCTTTATACACAATATTGGTATGCATATTCGTATTCACTTATATGCACCCTGTACTTCTACACTATTGTGCAGTCTTGAAGTTTAGAAATTTATAAATTGTATGAGTCACACATGCGTGTTTTGAAGTTATGATCATTGGTGTAGTCTTCATTTCTTTCCTAACAATTTTTTAAACAATAAATTGGCCAGACATTTTTTTAAAAAATCATACGTAAGTTTTTACACAAATTTAATGACAGAATGTGACGTATTGTCAAGTGGTTTTTTAAACAAAAGTAATGACATTGGTTGAGTAAGTAATTAAAACCATCAATGCATGAATATATTGTCAAATGCACACGCGAATGGTGTCAAGTGCACAATGCATTTACAAAGCTTCATTATAAATTACTTTGTATTTTGTACATGGACAAAACATATCCCATGCAAAAGTAATTACCATTTCGAAATATAGGATGTTAGGCAATTTAAATTAAATTAACTACAAGCATAAATCCAAATAAAAGAAACTCATGTAAATCCAGTTCCTACTTAGGTAGTTAGATTAGTTAGTACACTGTCATTTATATGCACACCAAAATACATTCATGTGCATCTTAACTCCTTGTTGAAAAAAGAACAATACCATTAATGATATGCCACACATAATGCAATCAAAAACATATTCACATACACCCATTGCTTAATTCAAACACATGATACATATTCCACTAAACTCATCTGCATCTCAAGTACTTCACTAAGATATCAAAAATCACATGCTTGTTTACCAACAATATATGCACCTAAAATCAATTTCAAATGCACCTAACGTCTCTCTTTGCATAACAATCAATCTTCATCTGCATATTAATTCCATGACCCAAAAAATGAATAATCATTTGAAAACAAACCCAGTCTGCATTTATTTCACAGTTCAATTGCACCTTTACGTAATGTCTTTTGCACCATAAAAACAGAATCTAAGTTATTTCTAAGTTTTTTCAAGTGCACCATGCATTTACAAAGCTTCATTGTAAACTCATGTGAACCTGGAACATATATTAAAACCAACTATATTCAACGTCAACTTTCACACACAAATAGTAAGCATAAATATGTTTTTTATTAAAAATAATGTGAATAAGTCATTGTAAACTGTAATTTTAATATAGTCAAACTGATGTCAACTTCAAATTTCGTTGAATTGATTATTTGGGCGCTGCTCCCTTCTTCTTCTCTCCCACCTTTTCATTCTCTTCTTTAGCTTTCTTGAGAAAATTCTTTGCCTTCAGCAAGTTTGAATGCATGTGCTCATTCTTCTCATTCAGGAGAATTGCAGAAATGTACTTCACGCGTAACGTCCCTACCAGTTTGGTGTCGGTTTCCTTCAGCCCAATATTCCATCCTTGCAAGCCTTGACCTTGATATGTCTCCATATGCCGCATTGTGAAGATACCATAGTCATAAATGTTTTTCGTCTGCCTCCACTCCATTCCTAGCCTCTTCGGTGTTGCCTTCCTCACTTTATCAGATTTGGTCATCATATTCCTTGAATCCATGTACTTCACAAACATATTTATCTGCACAAAGTTTTGCTTAGCCTTGTAATTTTCATTTATCACTTACAAAATTAGAACGACAGTGCACCTTACCACAAGTACTAGTTACATAATTTTATTTCATACCACGTTTTGAGGCATTTCCCCGTATTTATCAAATTTGCGTACGCTAGCTGATGAACTGTCAAATTTGCGTACGCTTCAGCTTAGTATTCAGACAAATTACATAGCAGTGATGCACTTGCATTATCGGGAAGAAGAACTGCACCAAAATAACCATTTTTTAGAATTTACAATTTAATAGCAATGCATTATATTTCATTAAAACTGCATACCAAATCAACTTTTGAAAGTGCAGTGTGATCTTTAATTGCCTCCAACCCAAAGTCAATGGCTTCCGCAAAAAGTGTGTAAGCACGGTCTTCATTCAATCCCAGGTCCGCCTGTGTGTCAAGCTACACAACACAGTTCCAAAGTTGTTAAATCACACTGTCTTTTTTATACATTGTGTTCAAAATACAATTTAAAAATACATAAACAAAACATTTATTTTTTCGTGCATTTGTACTTACACAAGGCAAGACTTTAGCAAATAATCTACTTGTAGACTCACTGCTTCTAACTGTCTCTTTACAGTTAAGAATGAATGCCCAGGTATTGATTACACTTTCCTCGATGTGTCGACCATCCTTGATGCTCATCAGTTGCCCGCGGGTAAGCTGCAATTGGTTAAGGGCTTTGAAAATAACCTCATTCCTGTAGAGGTTGCGTGCAATAAGAAATCATTTGCATTCAATTTTATCATCCCCCATGTTTAAAGTTGAAATGAATTTTGTAATTCACATTGCACTTACGCATCTCCAGCAACGTCTAGAAGTATCCAATCACTCATGGCGCGTTCATCTTTCGTTATTGCAGCACTTAGATCAATAACTCTTCTTACGTAGGGTGATTTCTGGGTTGCTGCAGCCGTTTGTTTTCTTCTTAGCTGGCCCAATTCTTCTGTCTCTTCAATGTCCTGTTGGCATCAATGTTTTAAAAAAAATTACATAAATACTACTTCTAAGTTTTCAATTCTAATAACTGATTTTTGTAGTTTCTGTAATTACCTTTCTGATTTCCAGCACATTATTTATATTTGAGCTTGATTCACCACCAACTGCTAACATTTGCTCATTTGAAGGCATCTGCACACTTGCATCGACTTTTCCCTTCCCCTTTTCATTTATATTGTTCTTCTCGAACCCCATCAGAGCATCACCGCTTACTTCATTTGGGGGATCGCCTTGTGTGAGACCTATACTAAAGTTTGGCATATCTTCCCTCCTTTGAAGAACCTTTGTTCTCTTTATACCGTCCACCTCAGCTTCAGCTAATATTTCAAGGTTGACTGGGTTTGACCAAAACACCTCCATCTCCCTGTCCATCTGTGTAGGTGTGGCAAAATCCGGAGAATTTTTCTTCTGTAAAACAGCCACGAGCATATTCGCCGCTTGCCCCAACTCTTTCAACTTTTCACTGCCACGAAGTACATCGGGAGATGCATCTAACATATTCATGATGTCAGTTGTTGTCTTAACAAATAAGCTGGTCTTATTAGCAAAGCGTTGCATAACGTCCTGTCATTTGCAAAAAAAAAAAAAAAAAAAAAACTTAGGCATTTGGTAACTTAGATACAACACTCTTGAAACAAGGTAGACAAATGGTTCTTTAATAACATTCCTCTTAAAGAATAAAAAAACTCTGCACATTCACTAATTCATAACCATGCAAGGTATAAAAATAAGTGGACCAGACATGTAGTCTCCTGCAAGCACATAAATGCCATAATTTACTATACCTCTTTTGCACCCGTTGTCGTCGAGGGCTGTCCCACATCCTCGGTTCTCTCTTCTGCGGTGACAGTTTTCCCCGTCCCTTGGTTCATTGTCATCTTCTCATCTACATACCCTAACCCAAATCCTCCAGCCTCAACTTCTTCAGATTCCCTCTCCCTCAATAACTGTGTGCTCCATCCCATTATAGCGGGAACCTTCCGAGGCACACTTCTTCTATATACTTCCACCCTATCCACATACAACACCTACAAAAAAATGAAGAATTACTTTAACTTTGTCAGCGGTATTCATATGTATATTCTATTTGCAGTTTAAAACCAACTGTTTTGCACATTGTTTTCCGTCACACACAAATAACTTCTTATTGCCTGACCACCTCCATTTCACCTAACTGTAAATGCACTCTCAGAAGCTCTAATATATAACTCAATCACTAATACATCAGTATTATGAACAAATCTTAAACTCATGCACCACACATTTTATAAAACTGCATATTCAACTACCTTAATATGCACAATCACGTAATGTTTGCACAGTGAACATTGATTTGCTTCTTTACGTCAACCATTTTGCATATTAGGTTTCCATCACACAAGTTTTACTTAATATTGCATTACATTGCACTTTCAGTAACTCCAAATGCACTTTCAGTAACTCAAATTCATCAAAAAATCAATAATTCATCTGTCTTAATTCTCAATCTTAAAGTACTGCACCTCACCTTATACAAAAGTGCATATTCAACTACGTTAATATGCATAATCACATAATACATGCACCACACCTTTTCTAAAATTGTACCCTACCTAAATACCACACAAACTGCACATTGAACTACCTACACATATTAAAAAACAATGCACTCACCATCAAGAAAAGGAGTGGACCAGTGAATGCCTTTTCCTTTCCCTTAGCCCATTCTCTTTTCTTCTCAATTAGAGCCTTTATCACATATTCGCACCAATTTAAATCTTTGATTCCTTTTGTGTCCTTCAAATTGTTTATGAAAGAGCAGTTTATATATCCGTTCCTTGTATTCTCTATCAAGGTCGATATAACGAGAATTATGAAGTTTCTCACAAAGCATTCTCCACCTTCCTCACATCTTAGTATTTCACGCACCACCTCTATTGGCAAAACTTTATCCTTTCCTCCGAAAGAAGCCCTCCACTCATCCAGCATTTCGCTTTTATCTCCTTTCCCCTTTTTTAACACTGCTTTGTCACCGCGTGGAAATCCCAGAACCAGCTCCACATCTTCTTCTGTGATGTGAATTTTCCTTCCTTTACCTAACTTTAGTGAACAACTAATTGGGTCAAAGTTGTCCACAATCCAATAACCAAGCTTAGACGGCAACTCTCTGATTCCTAGGTCTAACAAAGCCCCAAATCCAACTTCACGCACTTGTTCTCGCTGTTTGTGACTCAATTTCGAAATAGCATTCATCACCACATTCGGTGATGATCTAGTGTAGAGGCTGTGGTACTTTTCCTTCAAGTCATTCACAACAGCCCGCTTCTCCTTCTTCTTTGGTCTGCCCTCACGCTCTTTTTCCTTTCTCACCACTTGTTTTGGTAAATTGACAAAATCTTCATCACTGTCAGCTTCCTCACATTCATGAATGTCTGCCTCACTGCCATCTTCGGTATCAGGCACCACCACATCATTAACGTTTTGATAGCACACTTCCGTCTCCTTGTTTATCCTTCCACTCCTCCTTCTTTCACCACTTTCTTGACCAGTGCTTCTCTTTCCACGAGCAGCCTTAGATCCTGCACATTTAAAAGAGCATTTCATTTAAAATTGAATTAAATGAATTAGCACACCATTTTAATACTCTGTTTGCACCCATTAACAATATGGACTGCATATTATATGTATTTGCACCCCTTAACAGTTCACATCTATGAAAGAAAAAAGGACAAAAAATTATATATATATATATATATATATATATATATAAAATGCAAATCAAAAAATGGTTTCGGCCATTGATTTGCCTAAATCGGACACACGAAATTGATTTGCATTTCGCTTTTATCTCCTTTCCCCTTTTTTAACACTGCTTTGTCACCGCGTGGAAATCCCAGAACCAGCTCCACATCTTCTTCTGTTTGCACCCATTAACAATATGGACTGCATATTATATGTATTTGCACCCCTTAACAGTTCACATCTATGAAAGAAACTTGGTTGTAATCAAACCTTTCAACTGGCCTCTTGATATGCTCCCGGATTTCTTGGATGCAGCAACTTTTGCATTTTCCTTTTTCAACCTTCTCTCTACTTCTTTTTCCATCAACTCCATTCCTAAATTGTCTTCTATAAATACACCTGCATTTGAGGATAATGTTTTGTCATTCATACACCATAAAATATTCAATACAACGAATATTTACTATTTTAACCTTGAAAGTCATGTCTTGATTTGCTCCTACTTTCCTCTCGCTGCATGCTCAAAGTCTTTTGTTTCTCAAGCTTAGAACGTAACTGCATGAGCCCAGTAATCTTGTCTCCTAAAATTTCAATCGTATCTCAATTTCAGTAGTTCAAACAAATGAAACAATGAAAGTATAAATTTACTAACCATCCGGCTGCACTTGCACTTGTTTCCCCTTATTAATCACCCTCTTTTTCTTTGCAATACTACTCCCACATGGAGCTGCTTTCTTTCTCTTTTGTAGAACAGTTTGGTGGTTTTGTCGAGTTCCTACTTAGTTAGTTAGATTAGTTAGTACACTGTCATTCTTTTTTTTTGTACACTGTCATTCATATGCACACCAAAATACATTCATGTGCATGTTAACTCCTTGTTGAAAAAAAAAACAATACCATTAATGATATGCCACACATAATGCAATCATGAACATATTCAAATACACTCATTGCTTAATTCAAACACCTGATACATATTCCACTACACTCATCTGCATCTCAAGTACTTCATTAAGATATCAGAAATCTCATGAATGTTTATCAACAATATATGCACCTAAAAACAATTCCAAATGCACCTAACGTCTCTCTTTGCATAACAACCAATCTTCATCTGCATATTAATTCCATGACCCAAAAAAGGAATAAGCATTTGAAAACAAACCCAGTCTGCATTTATTTCACAGTTCAATTGCAACTTTACGTAATGTCTTTTGCATCATAAAAATTGAATCTAAGTTATTTCTAAGTTTTTTCATCCACACCCAACCATTTTTTTATCTGCATTTTAACCAGCATACACAACTTCCTCAAACACAAGTCAATTGCACCTTTAGCTAAGCTATTTTGCCCCAAACAATACACATATAATCTTCACTGGCACCCTTGAATACTTCTAAGTTGCCTCAACTGCACCCCACGAATCTTAGTCTGCATACCATATCAATTAAATTGCACCAATAGGTAATCCCTTTTGCACCAATAACTAATCTACTCAAACTCAATCACCAAACACGAAAACAAAAACCAACATTCATACTAAGCTTAGTATAATGCATTGCACCTTTACCTAACCCATTTTGCAACAAAATTTTGTATAATCAGGATACTCAGTCACCAAACACGAACTCAAAAAACAACATTGAGACTAACATTATTCTCGGTGCAAAATTCACTTTTCCCTCAAATTCAACTCCATATTAATAATTATATATTACACATTACTAAATTCAACAAAAACAAAAACATAGTAAATATGAAGTCCATCACAAATGCATCCACACATCCCTCTTTGTGCATCTAACATACAAATTTCTCCATGCAAACAGATTAATCTAAACAACACAAATACCTTCTTCGCACGCCAAAGCGGCTTGTCGCAGAGCATGTTCTTCTTGAACTGAAGCCATTTGCGCAAATGGAATTTCACCGGTCGTTATTCTTCACAAATGACGTTCTTCGTCTATGCTGAAGCTTTCGCCGCTCTCAAGGAGATTTTCCAGCTTCTCAGACCTTTGCTAGTTGGAGCATTAAACAACCTCTGCATCTTTCCTTTTTCTGATTTGCTATACATGGGCGGTTCGAATCTACGTGGGGATTGTGCGCAAGAGGGATTTCCTTCCTTTTCCGTATTATGGCGGTTCCATTTTAAAAAAAATCAAATGACATCTTTATCCTTTAATTACTAAACGGGTTTTAAAATACCCGGTCTCCTCCTTCGCGGCTCACGAAAGGTAACGGTGAGGAAAATGGTTTCGGCCATTGATTTGCCTAAATCGGACGCACGAAATTGATTTGCATTTTGTATGGGGAGAAGTGTTTGTATGTGATCTCCTCCCTATATATATATATATATATATATATATATATATATATATATATATATATATAGGTTTTGTTTCAAATAAGAACACGATCTTATGAGAGAAATGAGAATAAATCTGGACCATTAGATTTGCTTTAAGTGAAATTCAGTGTGCATTAGATGAAACTGTAATGTGCATTAGGTAAAATTGAAATGTGCATCACAAAGGGTAAAATACAGTGACATTATGTGAAGTTGAATTGTGCATTACGTGAAATTGAAATGTGCACTAGGTGAAACTGAAATGTGCAGAATAAAAAATACGATGTGATGTTATTTTTGTACCTTTTATTTTGCACATTTCAGTTTCATCTAATGCACACTTGAGTTTAAATTTTTATTTTGCACATTTCAATATCATTTAATGCACATTCCAGTTTTACCAAATGCACAATTTGATTCCACATAATACAATCCAACGGTCCAGATTCATTCCTTTTTCTCTCCTAAGAGTCCGTTCTTACCGGAACCGCTCCCTATATATATATATATATTGATTATTTAAAAACCTTTATTTATTTGAAATATAAAAATTTAGCCATTGTTAAAATAGAAACTCTCTAGTGGGATTTGGGATTTGCAGCAGGAGTATAATCCGATTTTTTTTATTTTTCTCTCTCTTGTCTTATTACCCAGTTCCAACTCAAGGTTTTTTACGAATTAAATATCTAACATAAATCGGAACTCCTTATGAGATTAAAATCTGTTTACTTCCTCTCATTATACTGCCTATTTCTTTTTATCTCTGGGTGTCACATTACATTCTATATTCTTTTCTTTCTTTACTTCACGAAATACATAGTATATGTATGGAATATTATTTGACTTCTTATATCTTTAAGTTAGGAGTTTATCCAGTTTGAAGAGAAGAAAATATTGAAGGTACGTATATATGTTAACACTATATTCTCTTTTAGTGTGTAAACAAATATGGTTATAATTTTGGACAGTCATATACTCCGTAATATACTTTTCCAAATTTCAGTATAGTTTTTTTTCTTTGTTCACAATATTAAGTAACGAGAACAAAGTTACCATAGTACATAATTATGTTTATACAATTATACCTGTAGGACGATGATTTCTTGTAGATGATATCTTGAAGAGCTTGAGCTAGCTAATTCGAGCTGAACGTGTTGTAAAATGAAGAAGATGAAGACTACATTTATGAGATATATATTAATAATAAGCTTTAGTTTACTTCTTCTTAATATATGAATTTTTTTGAATTAATTTACAAGAGTTTGAACAAGTTCTATTTATATTAGCCAAGCTTGAGATGAATCATCTAAAAATGATTCTACATGATTTGTTGGCACTATTGAATCTAGCCATGTGTCTGATTACAACGATTTGTGTTTGATGAGCAAAAATTTTATGGAACCATATGTGACTCTCTTATGAAGTCACATAAGCTATTGTGGCATCACCACAACCACACATTATTTTATTGAGGATCCCCACTAAAATAATGTATGGTGGTGGTGATGCCACAATGGCCTATGTGACTCCATAAGAGAGTCACATATGACTCCATAAAATTACTCGTTTGATGAGTAACCTCATTAGAGCATCTTCAATGCTAAAACGTTAACGCTGCATACGTGGCATTAGAAATAACCAATTAAAAAACAATAGATAAAATATCTCTCTCCTTATTTGAAGGATCTAATATCAGTTTGGTAAATTTTTCTTCACAATGTCATGCACAATGTCTAGATGTAGACATTGTGATAGACATTGCAGAGAAAAACTTACCAAAAACACATAAGACCGTGGAAAGAGGGAGAGAGAAATGTCATAAAATCAATCTTTTGTGTCTATCTCTCTCATGCCACATGTGCACCGTTCATATTGTAACATTAGAGATGGCTTAGAAGGACTATAATTTGCTTGGTGTCCTGATGACTCACACTTGTCTTGAATTTGTGTAATCTTGAATCCCTATTAGTACGTGCTGTGTCTAAAATTATATGCATTCCCACATGTATGGGTGCTCGATCTGAGTTATTTTTACATGTGAGACCCGTGAGGGTCCTTTTAAAATATGCTTTGCCTTGTTCATAAAGATGTACCTTGACCGTGCCTATTGAATTGATTTATGATCAATTCCATACTTAATTCAGTTTATTGCTAGTATAGTTATCCTTAAAGCCAAGAGAATTTGAAAGATTAAATATTGAAAAATACTAGTAATAATTTTGATCGTTGTGTTTGTTTAATCATTATTTTAACTGAATTCTTGAAAGTTTCGTTTCGGAACAACTTTTCATTTTTCTGTTATTTTCAATATAGATGGTCATAAAGTAGTAAAAAAATATGGTAGCACTAGTAGAAAATAGTCTTATAGTGACACTTCGTCAGTGACACTTTGTGATAAAGTGTCACTAAAAGACGACATATTGTCTTAAAAATGCATAAATGTCCTAGTTTTGTGACACAATAGTATCAGCGTCGTATAGTGACACTGGCAAAATTAGAAACGGGTCATATTTATAATTCTTATAAAAAATCTATCCTGCTAGGGGTCATTATTCTAAATAAGAAAACTTAGTTTTCTAAACCTATCGCAGCTGGACTTCGAAAGAGAAACTCAAGCAAAATAGCTACCCGCCGCTCACTCCTCCACATTCAAGCTCTAGCGCAGCGTTGCGACTGGCAATTCATCTGACGACCCGCCAACATCGGCCACTCTCCTGACCGCTCGAGCGAAACGGCTTAGGTGCCAAACCAACTGCCCTAACTGTTTGCTCCATCTCCGGCGCAGCACCACAAGTAACCACCTCCGCCCGACTGTGGTCACGATTCCGACCGCTCGAGCCCGTCCAACAGCTAGTGTAAGTTAGCTAGTGTTTTGATTCCCTTCATTTTCTCCCCGATGTGTAAGTTACTAAATTTAGTTTTGGGTTCTTGTACACCTTAGCTATAGAAGAGGTGTTTGTTTAGTGTGTTGGGGGTTGGGTTTGTTTCACCATATAGCTTTTAAGGAGAAAATGTGTTTTTTTTCTTGTGATGGAATAAATTTTCTTTTTCTCTCTATACCTTTAAATTGATAATAGCACCCCTAATGGCACTAGAAAGATGCTCACTTATGTAAGCCATGGATTATGATACAGGCTTCACTTGTGTAACCTCAGATTCTTGTGAAGGAGACCTGCTGATGGATGGTGTACCCGGGGGTAGCTTATCCGAAGGGTTATTGCGGGAATAACCTAGAGAGAAGTCAGAGCAAACAAGTAGGAGAGAGAGGCGATTATATTTATGAACTCGAGATGTTCTGGTCCTTTACAATGGGAAAAGGGGGTGCTATTTATAGTAGTAATAAATGTGATGAGAGTACACGTGGGGATAATCCAACGACCGAGGGGTCACCTCAATCGGGTGGCACTGGCATTCGCATGTGCACCGCATTGAATGCGGTGGGTGGATGTGACGTCACATTAAATGCGGTGGTTGCTTGTCTCCAAAGGGAATCTTCGATGATTGAGCTGTTGGCCGAGGGCTCTGTGCGGCTGAGGGCTCTGTTCGGCCGAAGGCTTCTCTGATGTCGAAGGCGTCATGTGTGCCGAAGGCTCCATGATATAGCCGAGGGCTCCTGTCAGCCGAGGGCTACTGTTTTACGCCGTTTTCTCCCAGTAGCTTCGTATGCTCAAATCTGGTTGCCCTGTGTAATTTGGACCCCTCGGCCAAGTAGGCCGAAGGCAGACCCCTATGTGTGTCGTGGGCTTCTTGACACTTGGGCCGCTGCATTTGGGCCCTGGGCGTGTATTGGGCTCATTGGGCCTGTGTAGGAGAAGTAGGAGTCTGTGGGCCGGGGGTTCCCGGGCCATATACTCCATCACCTGCTGTAATCCATAATCTTGCTATTATAAGCAGAAACTATTAAACATCAGAAATTGTTAGTATAACATCAAGTTATTACAAAATATCTGGAATTAAAGTGACCAAAAGATACTTCTTCAATTGGCATAAATAGAGCCTATTTTTTAAACAATAGTGATTGCTGATTATATACCAATTCATAAGCGTAACCCCCTTGAATATTACTGGGGAAATCACACAATTTTGGATGGAATATTTTGGAGGGGAGGGCGAAATTTTGGAAGTATTAGTCAATATCTTACTAAATACTATCTAGAATGTTTCTTATAACAAAAATGGTAATTGATAAACTATATGATCATCTATTATGTCATTCCTTCAATATTAATGAAATCTCTAATCTGAATCAATATATGTGCTTGGCTGAACTTTCCCTTTTTATATGTTCAAAGTTAGCAATGATATGCTTACATAGATTGAGTTAATTGTCAAAATAGGACTACAAGTCACTCAATTTGCACAAATAGGACCAAAAAATAAACTATGTTTTCATAGGACTAATTATGTGTGTCTTCGACAAATATACCCTTATAGCTATTGAAATGTTTTACTTCATAATAAAATAATAAAAAATAATAAAAAATTAATAAAAAATTTAAATAATAATATTTAATTTTTAATTTGAAAAAAAAAACACAAAAAAAATCTCCATCACCTCTGCCGCCCCAACACCACCACCTCCATTCACCTGGGAAAAAATGCCAAATGTATTATGAATGCCATATTTATGGCAGAAAACAATGAAAATGTTGGCATTCTCAAAGAGAAATATACCATTTTTTTGGCATTTTCAGGAAAAATTGACATTTTTTTTAGTGAAAATGACATTTTTTTAAATGTCGGAGGTGGTGGTGCAGGGAGGCAGTACCACTACCTCCGGTCACCGAAAAAAAGCTAAATTCATTACGAATGCCATATTTATGGCAGAAATAATGAAAATGTTGGCATTCTCAAAGAGCTAGTAATATGTCATTTTTTTGGCATTTTCAGAAAAATGACATTTTTACACCGATCGGAGGTGGTGGTGCAGTGAGGTAGTACAGGCAGTGGGAAAAGCACCCATATTTTTTTTTAATTTTTATAATGGAGT